ATCCAGCATGTATAAACATCGTTTTCCACTAGATGCATGAACACTCACATTAAATTTTTTGGGTATTCTATAAAAAATAACCTCAAATTTATCGCGCACCGTTTAAAAATGCACTTATATTAAAAAGCTTGTTTCCATGCAGCAATGTTATAATAAAAGTAGTTTATTTTTTATGTCAACAACTGGTGAAATAACGTTTGATATTTCAGCTTTGCGACCGGACCCTAGAGAGCATTAGTGCTGTCATTCTGCACATATTCATCAATAAACATATTTGATCCCTTATTCATTTGGTGTAAACACACGGGTCACGTCAACGGTTTCCTATAAACCCAGATCCTTTTAGTTACATAAAGCTACCAACTTGCGAATTTCTGTTAAATTCGTCAGATCAGCTCAGTAAGTACAAATTTTTTCCATTCATTGTGAAACGTTAAGTAAACTACTAGGACATGACCCTATTTAATCTCTTTATGGGCTCAACCTAGAAAGTATTAAATACCTAGCGCCAATTTCATATAAACTATCCAACGCCAGACAGTTCTATGTATTAAATGTACTTTCATCACTCGTTGTTGATTATACCAATATTTCCTCCAGCTAGAGCATCAGCTGGTTCCAAGAAAACTGTACTTTAGGACTAGCTAAGCATACTGCTACAAAATCAAGCATTTGGTTATGTGATTAAGAAAACAATTTGCGGAAATCGGAAGACAAATTGTGAATACCAAATCACTGTATCAGAAGAAAGCTGCTGTCAACCGAAGTGCCTAACTTATGCAACAACTACGACATACCATTATAATCTCATCAAATAGCTGAAAGCTTCATAAGGACGAGTCATATAATATACATGATTGCATACTTTTGTTTAATGAAAGATTGCTAACCATGCAATAACATCACTGGTAACTACATAATGTAATCTTTTGGTAAAATGCCTTTTGGCGACACACCATGCGTTTTTGTAGATCGTTAACTGTTCTTTTTTCAAATGTGTAAGCTGTGCAACTTATGATTATTGAAACTGTTCCTTATACATAAACCGTGCAAAATAGAACGGGAATGGTTCACTAGTCGATTCGTTCTTTACTCGAGAGCTATATTGTGCCTACCGACAAAGATGTGTTAACAAACATTACATGCATAGCTACCGTAGCGGGGCTATCAAATGGGAAATATTCAGCCCCAGCATTGTGACACCATTATTTGAAATAACATGCGCTTTTGCTTCTGTTTCTCCCAAGATATCTACAAGGAAGAGCGTCTGTAGATTGACTATATACAAGTGTTTCAGTTGATTAATGTCTTCTAAAATCCATACGGTGAGGTAATAAACCTAGGACGAAAAACCATGTTGGTTGCATAAAAGTCAATTTATTCCCAGTATGGTGCCAGGTTCATATGCCCCAAACCACTTCACTTGGTGATAATTATTTTTAGTACGCCTTTGCGAACGCCTTGATTCATAGTACAAACTTATTATATTTACAGTATATGATTTGCGGCTACAATGTATTTGGCAGCTATATTTGTCCACTTCATTGCGCTAGTTTGTGATTTGCTAGAAGGACAATGTAATATAGTCCACCGGCTTTCAGAATCCAAAAGCAGTTTGTTTCCTTACAAAATTCTCAGAGAGTTTAGGTATATTATTTCAATCGGCAGCAAATATAATCTTACATAGTTATGCGCGCAAGTTTACACTACAAGCAGTTAAAAACTAAAAGTATTATTTTTCATTTGTCTATTAGCATTAAATACTGCTTATTAAATTAGCAAACGAGAATTCTGTCAAAAGAAACAAGCTTCTAAATATTGTAATTTAGCAGATCTGATAATAAACAATTTACAGATAAGAATTTTGTTCGACTATGATTTAATAAATGCAGTAGAATAAATCCACCTAATTTTGAAATGTTTGACTACTGTTGGATATATTTAGATTAACATTAACACAGTTCTATCGCTAAAAGAAACCACCCCTTCCACGAAGTACTTGCAGGTAAAGCAGTCGTTAAAACTGTTTCATTCATAAACCTCTTTTAGGAAAATATACCTAACAATACACTTAAGTAGCCAATACGAAGTAAATTTTTCAGAGCATCGCGTTGGTTCAAAAAACGTTGGCGCATCACCTATGTAACTTATTTAATTGTTTCGTTTTTGATAAACGTAAACCGATAGTAACCAACTTAACCCTACACTGGATAGAACGTGCGCTCTTTCCAATCGTTAACTCCGTAACAGAATGTCAATCAAAAAATCAATCGCATATTCTGCATCCGTTTATATAAACCTATGTTCAATACATAAAGTAATTCCAAATCTTTGCCATTAGTGCAATGAAATTCCTGTCGGCAAGCCTATAAAATATACCGTTTTAATTTGCGAATGAAACAAGATCACATAGCATGGTACTGAAATATACAGACCACATAATAGGATAGCTACGAACCTGGGGAAGAGGAAATGTATGTACAACGTTAATATGTCGACTTTTACAGAGCGAATTCAAGGATCATTTAAAATAATACAAAGTAGTGTAGCAGAAAACAAGCGGAAATTAGGCGCAATATATCTCAAACATCTGCACTTGCTTAAACTACTGTTTATATCCAAATCATACATGGTATAGTAGTCTACCCACTGGGTAAAATATAATTGGCCAAAGCCTGTTTTACGCACATATATGTTGGATGCTCACCATATGTTACACAAGTTGTCTTGTCCTTACAATCGCGCGTCTCCTCGTAATATCTACTAGGGCAGCGTCTTGCACCTGATCTATTGACGTCAGACTGCATCCAAGATTCGTCAACACATTCACGACGTCGACTCTTGACGCATTCAATGGGATCACATTTGGACCAGTTAGACCAATTTTGGTAGCGCCCAGTGGGAATGGTCAGCATGTACCCGGATGCTTGCTTAGGAGCTCCAAATTTTATGGGTGATACCTTAAGTTAACGAAGAGAAGGAGGATTCAAATTCAAAAATGTCGTGAATACTTGCTTACTTTAACACAAGTTGATAGGCGTAAATGTCAAGCTGCCCTCAAGGTTGCGCAATTATTACGGTTAGCGGATTTAACACGGAAAACACTGGGATGGTGAAGTTGTTTCATATTTGCTAGATATCTTGCAGTTATGTTTCTAACTAAATCTATAAATGTACTTTCCAGCTTTAATTATGTAGTTTACAAAATTACATTCATCAAACCCAACTTATCTAAGAGTGCTTAGTTTGTTTATGTTAAGCTTATTAAATAAATGACAGTATAAAGCGCTTGGCGGTACGCAGTGCTCAGTGGACAGATTTTGGCCTACCACGGTCATAAATTGCTCAAAGTCACATCTGGTCCCATGTTAAGTAAGTATTGCAACTGTAGTTAATTGCAAGTAAGTCAGAAATATTTATATATTTTCCGTGCATTATACGCGCGAAGCACGTTCCAAGTGAGGGCATACAGCAAGCTTCAATATCCCCAGCGGTGAGAGACAAGGATGTCTGCTGCCACTATTCCTCCTAAACTTTGCTATTGACGGATTCATGGAGATTGCGTTTAAACGTGACTTAGACGTTTTGCAGCTACTACAAGGGGAACCACTTATGACTTGGAGTAGGCAGACGATATTGCCCTAATCTGTGACAGCTCCCAGGCGTGCTAAGCCGCGCTGGACAAAGTAGTACTGGCTGCCAGCTGCTTCGGGCTTTGCTTTGCACCATCAAAATGCAAAGCGTTCCTCCAAGGTTGGCAGAAGTTGCCTCATGCGCTGAGCCTTGGTGGGAATCAGCTAGAAGTCGTTCGGAAATTCAACTATCTAGGAAGTTGCATCCGCGCTCCTGGGATCAATGACAAGAGCACCAACCTTAAAGCAAAACCTCAAAGTGCTTTTTCTAACCTTCGCCATTTACGGCGCCGGCGCGACATTATTCTCGCCCTGAAGGGTAGAGTGTACAATGCAGCGGTATTTTCGACTCTACTTACGGTTGCGAAACTTGGCCCTTAAGCTGACATGAAGACATGAAGCAAATAGTTACTTTTGACCGTCGGTGCGTTTGCAGCTTGGCTCACATCTTGTTGGAACACCGCGTGATTAACGAGCCTGCTCGACGCCTTGTTTACAACCCAGACAATAAAAGGAACCGCGCAACACCGTCATTTCATGCACTGGGCTCCGAGGGCTGTGCCATTTGTAACGGCTGCTAGCCCACCGACTTCCATGACGTGCGTTGTTTGCTCACCGGGGATGTGAATGGAAGCGGAGGAGGGCGGCCGAGCGATGACGGTTTTGAGAGGAACGTAGCCTTCACTTCAAACCTGGCCTCAGTTTGAGCGTCACGGCTACTTGGTTAAGGTCCACAAGACGGGGAACACGTTCGGCTGGATCCTCTTGCTTTCATGGCAAGGAGCCGACCTCAGTGGCGTACCTGCTCTGAGTCCCTTTGTCGCTCTCAAAGCATTTTTAGCCTCCCCTACACCTTGGATTTCAATTCGTGGCGTCCAACTTTATAAGTTTTTTTAGTGCCTACTAGACGGCTAGTAGCTTACCGAAACGATGCCTATCTGTTGCAGGTAGCTCAGCTGATATGCAGCTGTTGTATTTAGTTTCCTTTTCCCTTATGTAGTACGGCACGGTTACTGAGGTATTTCCCCCTCTAGAAGACGTGTATAATGATGCATTTGGTTCAAGGAGGTCAGAAGATATTCAGCTCCTTTTCTCAAACTCTCTTAAGTTCAGAGCTTTTGATAAACTAGAAATGTTCATATACGTTTTTTCGCATATTCTTGATTAGTGTGCAGAGCACTTTTGCAGTTGTTCACTTATGTTTGCTAACACAACTAGACTAAATTTTACGTCGTGCATTCATACCATTTGCGCTAAATGGTGGTATATGAAAAACAATAGATGCGTCTACAAATCCATGGAATCTATCTCACAGGTTACGAACTTTTAACATGAATAGCCATTACGCTGAAGAGATGGTGGACTCACCTGCTCGGTTACAGGCTCAGTAAAATCAAACTTTGGTTTTTTATTTTTAAACTGCACCGACGCCTCCAGTTTACCCTGGGTCCATTCGGTTTCCCAGATGTATCCTCGTGCTTCGGCACCATGTTCCGCTTCCCTGCGGCGGTCACTGCTCCTTACCTGTGATGAGTATGCAGAGAGCAAAGCAACTGTTACCACCGTAATGAACAGTACGGCGTTCATCGATAGAAAGCAATTGCTTATGCAGTAGCAGCAGTTTATCCAACAGGTAGTTATATATCACAGGTTTATAATATGGTTCCTTATTTGGCGGCTCTTGTCCAATGCACAACAAAGAGTATGTTCATAAAAACACGAATGAAGGATTGCGCGAAAATAGCTGCACAACGCTGAAAATCCGCATATTTCCTTCGATCAATCGTTAAGAACTGTGTGACACAAACTGAAAACGTTTGGTCTTGACGGCGACACCATGGAAGTAGGTCACCAAATTCCTTACTTTATTCTGATAAGTGAAATTATTACCAGAACAAAGCGTTCTCTCAGCCAACAAACATTTGTTATTTTCAGTTTAGGTCAAATGAGGTGAGATATTTCACATCACAAAGCAAGGAATTTTGTTGCTAAATTACAATGGAAAGTTACCTAGCTTTGTCATACGCCAAACACAATTTGCTTAGAAGCCCTGATAATTCATCCCTCTTGTCATATTTTATTCAAATCGTAGGAAATTCGATACGGGCGTTTTTGTTAAAATGAGGTAAGTTTAATCATTTTCTTACATTTTGGTAACCATATTTGTAGGCGCAGCGTTACAATGCTTGTTGACACTTGCGCATAGGCCACGTCAATTGATAAACTGAACAGCCGTACCACAAATGTAAAGAATTTAAGTATTGACAAGTTCTTTGTAATTATCCATAGCAAATTGATATTATTTCAAATGTGACGGCAAGGTGATGCGACTTTGTTAGCTTCACAACTTACCCACGTCAATACAGAGTTATGCAGTCTACACACATTTCATAAATCCCGGTAAGCACAGTCTTGTAAGTACTTGATATTCGAAGTAAGTACCTTGTTATACATACGATGTAATATGTCGTCAAGTATAATTTAACAGTGCGTGTCATGGAAGCAAATAAAACAAAGAAAATAGGTAAAACACAGCTGGCATATTCTTGTAAAACGCAATTTCCGGTGACAAACATCCGATTGTCTTAGGTGGAATGTTTCACCTAGCCGTTTCTCATATTCGTATTGCATATTAATTGCATTAAGTGATCTCGAATATGGCTTGTGTATTTTAATAGCTTGTATATAAAAATAAAGCTAAGTTGTAGATGGTAAAGTCTTTCACTGCACACTCCTATGGCTGTTTGTCGTAGATGACGTGGCGGATGAAACAAGCTTATTTAGCCTTGGGTTGCCTTGGGCAACAATACTGCAATACCAGCATACCTAGTTTGTAAACCATATCTGCATGATGCACTAAATGTGGGTTGAGCGTATGCATGCATATGTGCGTATACCGAATTGCAGGAAAACATTACGTAAGTGATAAATATGAAGGTCCCAGGATTTGATCCATTCGTGGATTTCATTAAGGCAAAAGTAATGCTGATCCTCAGCAATCCAAATCTTCCTATTTATTAGAATGAAACAAGGGAGGTAGAATCGGAGTAAAGAATACCTAACGATAACTCTCATCAGAATAATATATTACACGCTGACGAAACTGTGCTAAATATGCCGGATTGGGCTGCATATTGAACAGTATGTTTAATTTCAACAGAAACAAAGCAACAAATCACCGGGTCATTGAAAGCGGCAAGTGTGTACAGGGGAAATCACATCCGAAGTTGAAGGCAACGGTAGAAGTAAAGGATGTACAAACTGTTTTCATACGATCAATTCTTGCTTGAGGTAGCAGATGTAGATAGCATCCGCCAGAGACAACAAATGATTCCATAATCCGCTTAAAGAAAGTGAACGAAAAGTACAAATGACTAAAAAATCATTTTCCGTCCATGCGTGATTGCACTCTAGGAGGTGAGACAAGATGTAACTGTTACAGAAACTTCCTTCGTCTATGTAAAACCACTTTGGGATGTTTTCGCAAATCCTATGAGATGGGCGCTTCGTGTTAGCAACAGCGTATCATGCACCACATGAGCACGTGTAAAGATAAATAAGCTATGATCGAGTCACCGGAGGCCGTCTGTCTTTCAAAGGTTTTGCGCATAAAGGCTTGTTGTAAAATACTACGCATGGGCGAGCCGCAAAATATACCTTTCCAACAGCGTCTATCAGAGTTTTTCCATGGCATCAGGCGCACTGTCCCGATTTAAGGAATATGCAAAATTAGTTCTTCCTTGGTTGTGTACATGCTCGGTGGTTTATCTTGCGTTCGTTCTAACGTTTGAGGATGAGTTTATCCGGATACCCATTCGCTCTTAGCGCTTCGCCGATCATCTGCATTCCTTTAGAGATTGTGTCCGGTAGGCACATTCCATGTGCCCGGAACGCAAGGGTGCGGAATAGTTTTTGTTTGTAATGTATAGGTACTGTACTATGGAAGATGTTGTACTGCCCAATCCAAGTTGGTTTTGCGTACACCGCTCTCTTGCACCATCCATCGGCGATTCTACTCAAATCATTGTCCAAGAACCGTGGTCAGTTTCTGGATTCGTGCTCACAAGTGAATTTTAGATTCTAATGCGCATAATTAAAAGGTTCCAAAATTTTCACAGTCTGAGCCTTCGATTTGCAGAGTATAAATATTTCGTCTACATAACATATATACATCTCGACTTCGTTGATGTGTGTTCTTATTAGGTTACACTCTAATTTTGCCTTAAAGACATCTGCTAGGAATGGTCCCATTTGTGAGCCTATGGCAACTCCATCAGTTGAACGGTACATCACCCGGTTGAAGGTGAGCTGCATGTTTAAGTTGCACCTGAGTAGCAGTACCTTCAGGACGTTTTCCGGGATATCTATAGGTTCATTCCGTTGCCGTAAACGTTGGCAGACATATTCTATCTTTTCCGACAACTGCATATTCGTAAACAACGACTGTGCATCAAACAAGGACATCCACTTTTGTTAAGGTTTACACCACTTATCTTCTCAGTGAACTCGAAAGTTTCTTTCACGCAATAACTGCAGACGGTTTTATGCAGAGTTTCCAGATTCTCAACCACTTATTGAGCTATCAAAAGTTGCGTAGACCTAACCATATCCAGTATGGGACGCATTGCAGCGCCCTCCTTGTGAACATAAGGGAGGCCGTTTAACCGTGATAGATGTCCGCCAGAAGGTTTCAGCTTTTCGAAATCGCACTTTGCGAAAACAATCGCTTTCATCATTCGCCAGAGCGAATCGTTCAGTTGTTTTCAAAACCCTTCTGTATTGTCCCTCTCTACTGCTAGCTTTTGAACCTGTCGTTCATCATTAAGAATATGTTGCATCTTATTAACGTAATCAGTTCTATTCATTAGAACTATACCAGAACCTTTATCTTGCTTACAGGTAATTAAATCTTTGGTCAACCCTAGCTTTTAAGTGACGGCATATTGTAGCCTGTAATACTATCACTACTGGCTGATTTAGCCTTAATGTAATCATGACAGGTGTTTACTAAGCTGTATAACAAGTTCTCAACGACCCATTTCGAATTTGATGACAGGTCGCATGCCTGCGAAATTAAGCTCTTCAATTGTGCCTTTAATGCAGCCTGATCAACATTTTTTATAAGGAATGCACAACTTAGGACCTAATGCTATGACATTTAGTTGTGTTGGGCTCAGCACGATACTAGAAAAGTTAAACAGGTACCGCTCCGGGTTGCTCGGAAAATCCAGTTGCGGTACTTAGCCATTTAGCGAGCTAACCAACTGCTTTATTTTCTGTGCACCCCTTTTCGTTTTAACTCGTTCAACGTGTGCTTCAAAACGTCTTCGTAACACTTCCGATAAGCTTATAACGGCATGCATTTGTAGTGAAATGAATCACTCCAGGTGGATTAATTTTGTGTGAATGCTATCAAGAGAGTTGAGAGTGTGTTGCCTAGAATTGCGCACACCCGGATACAGACCACATCGGCGTATATCATATTAAAAGTGCTTTGGACACCGATACGACTGTAAGCACTCGTTGAAGCGTTACAATACAACATCCGCCTCTTCATACCGAGCACTGTACGTTAGATATTCATACAAATGCTTGACCGAATCACAGAAATAGCTGATCCACAGCAATCCAGAACTTCTTATTTCTTTGAGTGAATCAACGGTGGCAGAATCGGAGTAAAGAATACCTTTCGGTAACTCTCAGCAGACTCCTATATTACACGATGACACCACAGTGCTAAATATGTCGGATTGGGTAGCGCATGGAACAGTATGCTTAATTTCAACAGAAACAAGGCAATAAATCACCGGGTAATTGTAAGTGGAAAGTCTGTACACGGAAATTCATAGCCGAAGCTTTAGGCAACGGTTGAAGTAAAGGATGTACAAACTGTTTTGGTACGCACAATTCTGGCTTGCTTCGGCGGATGTAGATAGCTTCCGCAAGAGACAGAAGATGCTTTCGTAATACGCACGAGAAACGTGCAGAAACAGTATAGATTGTTAAACATTCATTTTCCGTCCACGCGTGACTAAAATCTAGAAGTTGAAACAACAAGAAAATTTTACTGGATCTAGCTTCGCCTTTGTAAAATCATTTTGGGATGCGCTCGCGAATCCTATGAGATAGGCATATTGTGCACCACAGGAGCATGAGTAAAGGTAAACAACCATTGACCAAGTCACCGGAGGCCGCATGGTTTTCAAAGGTTTTGCGCATAAATGCTTGTTGTAAACTACTATGCATAAGCGAGCCGGGAAATAGACCTTTCCAACAGCTTATTTTAGGCCTTTCGCAGGGCATAAGGCACACTGTCGACTTTTAAAGGAATATGCACAATTAATTCTTGCTTGGTTGCGTTCATGCTTCGTGGTATTATCCTGCGCTCGTTCGTATGTTGGATGATGAGTTTATCCGTATAGCCATTCCATCTTCTCGCTCCGCAAATCATCTGCTTTTATTTGGTGATTGTGTCTGGTGGGCAAATTCTAGGTGCACGAAACGCAAGAGTACGGACTAGGTTGCTTTTGTACTGCATGGGCATCAGTATTTATAAATCTATCATATCTAAGTTGGTCTGCGATATA